TGGCCCCACTAACACCTCTTCCAGCAGCAACCTCAGTTTTTCCCAGGAGGTCTCCCATCCAGGTACTGACCAGGCTCACACCTGCTGAGCTTCAGTGGGCTGCCAGTTGTGAGTTGCAGGGTGATATGGCTGCTGAAATTAGCATTTCATTCCTTTATTGGAAAAGATCTTATTCCTGATAGGACCTGCAACAACCTTGAGCTCTATCCAGACACTGCATGGGATGCCAGTGGATCACAGGGCACAAATACAGACAATGTAGTGACAGGAATCAACGTAGCCATTAGCAAAGCCTCATCTTTTTTGGGAGGAAATTGGAGCACCCCGAAAAATCCCACATTGATACAGGGAGGACATGCAAACTCCACTCCGATACAGGTAGTATTAATCCCAGAACCCCCAGAGGTGTTAGGCAGCATCTCCGACCCACAGGAATGGATATTTTCAATGAAAAGTTTGACGTTCCAGCTCCCTGATTACAGGGCTGGGGCTTTGTGGTGGGGGAAGATCTTTTGATCTGGGGGGCAGGTCTCTCCATTAGGAGGGCAGATCTCTTGATTTGGGGGACAGTTCTCTTGATTTGGGGGGCAGTGTTAGAGGCATGTCTGAAGTCAGAAATGGGAGGAGAATCTTAAAGAACCCTCTTGGAACACTAAATAATGGCACGCCAGGAATTCTGCATTGCCCCAGCTGTGGATTTATCACGGCTCCCTTTACGAGTGGAGATGTGGCGGATTCCCCTGTGGAGTCACTGGCTGGGCCTCGGCTTGACCACGCTCTGACCTCTCTCAGGTGGGAGACTCCTGGTTGAACGATCACTGCGAGAGGAGGTGCTCATGCACGCCGGGCGGCGTCCTGAACTGCGTGGCGTTCCAGTGCAGCGAGAAGTCGGTCTGCGCCCTGGACAGCGAGGGGATCCGCTACTGCAAGCCAGCCAGTGAGTGGGCCATCTCCTCTCCGAGCCTCACCCGCACCTCCTGGTTTCACCTCTCATTAGAGTTACAAGGGAACAAGTCATGATACACACCAGAGACAATGAGGGCTAGGAAACATCAGGGAGGTTGTTTGGCCCCGGGTCTAGGTCTCGGTCTAGCTCGTTTGATTAATGGGTGGACTGTAGTGCAGTAGAGGTTCTGGACCCAGACTGGAAGGGTGTGGGATTAGAACCTGAGTGGGAAGCTGCTGTTTCAGCCTTGAACAAAGTACTGCTGGGTCTCAACATTTGCTTGAGGAGAATTGCTCATTTAGATCAATGATCCAGACCCTTAAAGATGTGTTCTAAATTAGTGGGGCTGCCACTTGAGCAGAGCTTTCAATCTTCTTACATTAACAGTGTGCTGAGGCTATCTGTTCATATCTCCTGTGATCCCTCATGTGTTCTGCATGACCAATACCAACTTATGCCATCAAACAAAGGTTTTAGAGTTCCTCAATGCAAATGTAACAAAATGTAGAATTCCTTTGTCCCACACTCATTCAACTGCTCAATAAATGCATTGACAATAAAGCAGTATTGGTTTATGGGCGAGTGCAATCAGTGGTTCGGTGCAAAACAAGGGGGTAATGCATAATTATAGGGGCTCGGGGTTATTGTTGGGGGAGTAAACTTACAGGTTATAGGAACCTTTGTGGATTGTTGTAGGAGTGATGCATAAGGACTTTGTATGGGTTGAGGTCTTTTATGGAATGTTATATTTTAAATTTGTAATGTAATATTTAATAGTACTATTTGTATCTTTTTTGTAAGTCTCAATGTGTTAAAAACAGAGCTGATTGGATGCTTTTCAATCAGACTTTCCAACAGGATGCTTTCTGAGAAATTATATAATCAAGGTTTATCGTATCTAGATTCTGGTATAGGCAGTAAACTAGTCAACAAGTCGTGTATGCAGATGATAGCAAAATAGGATCTGTGAACACTGTAGAAGCTGTGAAAGAAGTTCGAAAGATGTAGATGAGATTCAGTCTGGACACACTGTAACGTAGACGAGTGTCGAGTGTTGGTAGTGTGTATCCCAAGCCACTGTGACCACCAGCCTGCAGTGCCAGTTTTAACCAGGATCGTTGCTCCCTTTCCCTGCCTCCAGAGTTTGACAAGTGCAGCATTTCTGGGGATCCCCACTACCGCACCTTCGACCGGTTTGTTCACCACTACCAGGGCCCCAACACCTACATCCTGACCCAGACCCACGAGCTGCCCACCTCTCTGGCACCCTTCACGGTTCGGGGAAAGAACACGCGCAGAGGCATCAACCGGAGGGTGTCCTTCCCGAAGGAAGTCTATATTGACATATATGGGATCAACATCCGCTTCTTGCAGCAGAGGAAAGTACTGGTGAGTCCAACGAACATACACTGTGTAGAGAAACTGTATAACGTGATATACATCTTATAATGGGATTACAAAGTAGCATTTGCAATGCACACTTGAATTATGGGTATGAATATTAATGTTATATGAGCCTGTTGTCCAATCACAGAGCTTCTGGAGACAACTTTGATCTGATTTCTTTGGAGTGTGGCCACTGTACAGAAACACAAAAGCATTGTTCAACTTTAAACAAATATGTGATAAAGCTCCAATCATATTCTGACTTTAGTAAACTTGCTCTTCCAGTCTTGTGTTTTTGGGCTGAATTAAATGTCTTTTGCCTAGTGCGTATAGACCATCCATTAAGCAGCAGCATATCATACCACTTTATGCCCAGTGCTTGAGCCCCAGCCTCCTCTCTGTGACAGGTGCTGTGCATTAAAGGTTTGTTTCTGATCCCCATGTGCAGGTGAATGGGGAGAGAGTGAGACCCCCTTTCCAGCCCCTACAGGGTCTGAGGTTGTCCCAGCGGTCACGCTTTGTTCAGCTGCACACTGACTTTGGCCTCTCAGTCAGCTTTGATGGGAAATACCATGCAGGTGAGATTCCACGCACTGACACAGGATAAAAAGGTCGGGTGGTCCCATGCACTATGGGTGCAAATGAGTGATATCA